CGTCCATGACGAGGATCATCATACAATGCAATTTCGGTATGCGGCGGGAGGAGTGGTCATATTACATAGTGATGCCGCAGGGTATTAATGATTCGATAATGCGATATAAGATTGTTATAGTCCAAATAATAGCACAGACGCGAGACGGCGGCAACGACAGCGACGGCGACGAGAGAGGGGGGGGGGCACGCAGCGTCCGTACTCCCCACTTAGTCGGCGAAAGGGTCCGGTGTCGGTGCACCCTTGACTCCACGCAACTCCGCGAGCTCAATGGCAGCCTCGTAGTGTCTCCCTTGGGTCCATATGCCACAGCCGGCGAGGTATTTGATGATCTGCTCCTCGTCGGTGGGGTTGCCCTCAAAGTCGGGCGACGATCTAGTCGGGGCCTTCTCGACCTTGCCCTCATCGATGGCGGCCTTGTACCGTCCCGACGCAATGACGTGCAAGGTCGCATTAATGAACGCGTCCGTGTCCTCGAGCTTCCCTCCGGCGCACTGCAAATAACGCCACCAACGTGCGCGCGATGCGATGGTGTCGGTCTGGCCCTTCTGGAACCCTTGGGGCGCCATCTCCGGCCGTTTCTTGACGAGCTCGACGAAGGCGGCAGTGGTAGGGGCCTCGTAGAACGAGCTCGGCGTGATCGCGACGGCCTGGTCACTCGCCGCCGCCGCTATTGCTGGCTGGTCAGCGGTCGAGGCCGGCGGCGCAGTGGGCACGGTCTTCGCGCCCTCGGTGGTCGCGGTGCTCGGAGTAGGCGGGGCTACATGCTCGCCGCTCGATCCCCAGGTAACCCTCGTCTCGTTCGTCCCTGTCCCTCCCCCTTTGGACTGCTCAGGCCAGTCTCGGCCTGCAGACCATGACGCAAGCACCGAGGCTCTACCCCAGCCCGCCTCAGACAATGACGCGGCCGTCGCGGAGCGTTGCTCGGGCGCAGGAGACTCCTGTTGTCCCGGCGTCCAAAGTCGTCGATCCTCCGGCGGGTTGGAGACTGGCCGCCTGTCGCGGTCGTCCCTGGCGTCCGAAGGTCGAAGGGATGAGGACGTACGTTTGGGCGGATGCTCGGGCTCGTTGAATCCCCCGTCGGGCTCGCGAAACCTCTTCCCTCCTGAGTTCCTGCGGGGGCCGCTATTCGATTCGTGTCCCTCCTCGCAGCACTGAATATCTTGGTGCTGGGTATTGTACTGATAGCGGCGCCGGCATAGGTGGATCGAGTGACGAGCCTCTTCGAGGTCGCCGTGCGTGTTTTCAAGCGTGATGAACTGAATATAATTGGTCTCCTCGAGCTGAGCGATGCGCTGATGGCAAGCCTCCAAGGTAGTCGGGAGGTTGGCACCTCGGTTGACAATAGCGGCGGGCATAGGGTTACGGCGATACATGACAGCAAGATGTTGAGTAGCGAGCAGAAGGTCGGCGTTCGAGTTCAAGTGACTTTTGAACTCCGTTTCGTATCCCGCCACGCTATTGTTCGTGCGCTGGCGGGAGTTGCCGAGTAGCGCTGGCGAGTAGGCGCTCATTAGTCAGCGGCGTGAGCGCCTGTCGCCGGCGCCTTTCCGGGGTAACTCCTCGGGCCGTTTGACGCCCTGCAGCTCCAAATAATGATCTAGCGCCTCGAGTTCATTGCAAGAGGATAATGGCTCCCATGTAGCCTCTCCTATTTGCCATCGTACAAGTAGCTGTAACGCGTTTTTATTCCATCGATGAGCCATAATTTCCTCGACGAGCCATTCAACGTCTTTCGGCTCTCCGAAGTCATATGCAGTGTAGGATTCACGATGGGGGAATAGATTATCGTCGTTCCCTTCATGTCGTCTAAGTCTGCTCACATGAAACGTAGGGTGAATACGTCTCTTCGCCAGTTCGGGCGGTAATTTAAGTTTGTAGGTAGACTTAGCGGGGTCGCTCTCCTCAACTTCATAAGGACCAATGAATCGGGGCATCAACTTCCGAGCCCGACCCTTAGGTAAATTAAGATTCTCCGTGGACAAGTACACTAGATCGCCTGGGGTAATTGCCTCATCAGGTTGACGTCGTTGATTGGCGTAATGAGATTGAATAACACGACTCTCAATGATCGCATCGTGCGCATGCGCTAAGTTCAACAGTGCGCGTTCGGCGAATTGTCGAACGCCTGGCATGACCGGATCAGGGTCCAATGTGGTGGCAATACGCGGCATAGTTCCATAGTTCAATTCAAATGGGGCGTATCCCGTGCTCTTGCTGATACTAGAATTGATTGCGAATTCAACCATGGGGATTTTCTGAACCCAGTCGGTTTGGCTCGCATTAACTAACGCGCGTAAGATCTGGGACACCGTTCGTATAGATCGTTCGGAAGCTCCGTCGGTTTGAGGGTGGAATGCCGTAGACATTAATAACCCAGTGCCTAGGAGCTTATGCAATTCCCGCCAGAACTTCGCCGTGAATTTAGAGTCGCGATCTGATACGATAGTATCAGGCATCCCATGAAGCTGAACTATACGGTCATAATATAGCCAAGCTACATCCGATGCTTTGGCAGTGGTCCTCGTAGGAATCAGGTGTATCATGGAAGTTAGTCGGCATATCACGACCCATAGGTAATCATATCCTCAACC